AAATTGGACCCCCCTTTCCCCACTGCAATTGTCATTCGGACGTGTTTATTATTTTCTCGAGGTGCTGCTAGAATGTCTTGACTCATTTGCCCATTCGTCATAAATCTTAGTACATTCTTGACTTCGCTCAGACCCTTTTTCCCTAAGATATTGAGACATTCGTTGAAACTCTGACTGGTGTACTTCTCAATTGCAAATTTGTCAGACAACTCGTTGGTCTTCTTGTAAATCTCCTCGGCCAAATATTTGCATATAGCGCATATATGCTCGACACAACACTCTTTATGTGACGCAACCTTTTCTATGCACTTTTTGTAATGTTTGACCAAATGGTGTTTACTCCCTGTGAAGTAGTTCATGTTTTTAATATGGCATTCCCAACTCTCTTTAATGTTCTTTTCAAAGCCGATTGGATTTGTTTTTGTATGTGTGGGTTGGGTTTGCAGAGTTTCTTTAATAGTTTCCAAAACTATGTTGTATGCGTTTAATGTTGATTTGCTTGTGTCGAGCCGATTGAGAGAGCGAATGATGTATGTCTGGAATTGCTCTTCTTCACTACAGAACAACACAAACTCGTCAAAATACGGCACTTTGGCCTTCATCAATTCATGAAGAATTTCAGTGTCATTGCTCATGTTCTTCCTTGGCACACCACATCGGAGTAACAGAGAAATAGCTCGGAAGTTCGCAGAGATCTTCCTGAAGTATCGCGACTTCTCCAAAACTTTTGAGAGTGTTGATAACGTCTCGACGTCAGACACTTGGGAGTACTCAGTCAACACGTTCTCAATTTGACGAGGCAAGTCGACGTCTTCATTGATCAATTCATGTAACTGTTCTCTTCGGACTTCCGCTTGTTCCACTGCGCCGTTCTCGCAGAACAAAACCATCTCGCACAAAATCCTTGCGGGAATCTTCTTGAGAACTTGTATTGAAGACATTGACTTTAGTATTGTGAAGTCACTCAAATACTCCTCCAATGGCACTGAACTCCAAAATTCAAGTAAAGACGGGTACTTCTTACTATGTCCAAATGCTGTTTCCACGTGTTTCATTTCGTTCATTTGGTTGTTTAAGACTTTCTTCTTGTCTGAAGCTTTAGCTTCATTTAAAAAGAGAGGAAGAGTCACTTTGTGGTGGTCACAAAACGTCAATAAATCGATAACAGTGAGCTTCTTGTTTTCAATAAATACATTGAAGAAGTCGGCATTAAGCTTTTCTCTGTTAAAGAACCCAAACGTGTCGATCTCTTCAAACGTTGAGTTCTTGTCGAAATGATTTGACTTAAATTGGTTCATTCTCATTGCACTCTTAGTCTTCACCATTTCATCGATAAAAATGGTGTTCGCTTTCGTCTCACTTTCAACGATTTTTAAACACCTTTCCTTGTCACTTTCATTCGTCGTGTTAATGTGTAACAGAGGGAATACAACGTCCCCAAACATCAAACATTCCTTAAGAGGAAATTCGTGCCATTCCAGGGATTGAATTCGTTGTGTAGAAACGCCATATCGATGAGTTGGAGTGTACGTGTTGTTTATTTGATACAACAGTTTTATATCTTCAACAATCTCTTTGTAAGGACATTGAGTCAATGCGCTCTCTTTCCTCTCGATGTCTTCATATGAGAAGTCTTGTGTGAGTAACTCGTCTGCATTTAACATCCATTGATTACATGGACTAGTGGTGTCATGATATATCTCATAGAGTGGCAAACAGTTGACGTGAGTCACTGGCGTGAAGAAATAAGTGATTTCCTTGCTCACAAGTTGGTGTTTTGGGAAATGCATTTCTGAGTACTTTTCATCCTTTTCTAGGGCTCCATTCTCCTCTAAGATTTCTTTTTGACTTTCTTTGTCTGTGATTTCAAGCGGGCAAATCAATTCAAGGGGGTCACAAATAAACGCATTTTTTTCTTCGACAATTTCGGGGATAAAAATTTCAAGTGAAGGAAATGGACATATGGTGTTCGTGATTTCGCCAATATCATATTGAAAACTTGAGATTGTATCTTCGATGTCTTTCAATTCCTTTTCTTTCATATATTCAATAGTTTCGTTATTAATAATATTAGTTTGAAGAGGTGCTGCACTCTCATCAAATGGATTTGATGAGATCGTTTGATGGACTTTCTCTTTTTCTTCTCGCATCAGTTTTAATTCCTCAAGAAGTTCGTTTTTGCGTTCAATCACTTTCTCAAGTTCGTTTTGTTTTAATGTTCGTGATTTTTCTTTCTCAAGATTTTCCAAATTGTGTTTGTCCTCAAGTTCTTTATGAATTCTCATACTTTCTCGTTTCGCCTGGTTCAAATCAAACCCCTCACTTTCATATGAACTTCTCATTTTCACGTGATCGCCATAACGCAAAAGATTGTTGTCTAAATGAACACCACATTTAAGCAGACACTCAAAACTGTTTTTCATCAATCTTGAGTTGCATGTGGAATGACCGAGCATTTGATAGAAGAAAATTAAATCGATAATGCCACTCCTTAAAGCCAAATGAATTGACTCATCAACGGTGTGAGTGTACAAATAATCAATTGCCTTGTTTCTCGATTCCATGTCAATAGCACACTGATGGAGAACAACCAAATCCTTATCGACGTATTTCTCCCCTTCTTTCAAGTACTTTTTCCATACCGGACATTTCATGTCGATCACTCGACGACAGAAGTCTTGATACTTCTCGTTGAATATGACACTTTTGTTGTTCTTGAACAACATTTGGATGATATACATTCCCGCTTCCAGTGCATTTTCAACAACGTAATTCAACGAGTCGTTTCCTTCGATGAAAGTGTTGACAATATCAACACTTTGCCACAACTCATGTGGACTTGCTTTGGAAAAGCATTCAACCACATCTTCACTCTTCCCATGTGATATGACAGACATCAATTTGAGCGTATAATTCACTTCTACATTATTCATCGACTGTAACACCTTTAACATCGCGTCAAATTCACAGACTAATATCGCCTTTGCAATGTCAATATCACTCCTCAAATATAAAACAGTCAAATTGTCTTCAACAACTCCCCAACAGAATCCGGTGCCAAACAAATAGAGAACGTTCGTCTTTTTCTCGGATATGAAACGGTCATTGGAACTCATCGATTTCAAATCAACAAGTTGCGACATATCGTCGACTAGAGTTTTGACGACACAATTGCGACAATCAATTTCAACGACATGTTTCACTGCAAACGTTTCAATTGTGGAAGACAATTTACACAGATCGACATAATCTTGAATGTACTGTGAGACTTTATATGCAACGTATTCGTCTTCTTCGACATCATCAAAGTCATCTTCTACAATCGGTTCTTTAATTTCGCGCGATTCATATAACTCTTCCATTTCTTGATCAAATGCATATTCCCTTACTGACGGGACACTCGCCATACTCACACGTGTTATACAAGTCTCTTTGATGATCCAAAACGAATTCAAATTGTCACTCACTTCGATACCTAAAACATTTGCAAGATCTTCCCGTTTCATTCCCATTTCTGTCAAGTCAACGTGAAACGCTATTTCCTTCCCTTCTTGTCGACAATCAATACAAACCACTTCCCCACCTTCACGCAATACGAGCAAACAATTGAAATTAAACGTCACACAAATGCTCCTCGGTATTCCTTTTTTTCGGGTTTGTCGGAGTTTGTGAAAGATATAAGGCTCCACAACATCCTTTATAATCACGACAACAACAAATACATCTTTGTATGAGTGAATTTTGATGCCATCAAAACTACTCAATTTCATGAGAGGTGATGGTTTGGTCTTCTCATCCGCTATAAATATGATATTATTTTGTCGAAGAACTAACATCTCTGTGTTGTCATACAAAAACCAGGCGTAGTCAGTAAATGGACTTAAAACAGTTCGGTCGCGCCACCCCTCTACTGTAATATCCTCTTCTCGTTGGATCGCTATTGAACGACCACTTGGGCTGATTTTGAAAGTGTCGGCCGGTGGCGAAAAAGCGGCTTCGTTGAGAATGTATCTCTTCATGGTGTTCTTTTTGTAGTTCCATTCATTCAAATGAGGCGGTTAATTAAAGTGGTATTAAAACTTAAATAAAATTACTTAATGGTCTTAGTAGTTTTCACTAAGTTTGTATTCTCTTAAATTCTTCTCTTTTATTTACTATTTTTATAGAAGGATTGAACTTATAATTAATTATAATTAATTAACTAAAATATATGTTTTATATTATTATAATTAACTTGTTATACTTTAGTCATATAGTTTGACTCAAACTGTTTGAGCTAAACTATATAATTATAAATAAAATAATCTAATAATTAATATTAATTATAATAAAAAAACAGTCCTTATTATTTCTGATAAATAAGGTTTGGTTTGATACTAAACAAACATAAAAGACCAACTTTTTAAAAAACATAAAAAAAGTTGTACAAAATGTTGGTCGATTATTTTAATAAAATGGTTTGATTTGAAACGATTATTCAATTGACAGTAAAATAACAAATAAAATTTTTTTTAAAAAGGATAATAACACATTACTTTTATTTCTTTTCTCAAATTATAACAAGTTTAATTATTTTTATTAATATAAAAAAAAACAATTTAAAAAATCTCATTAAAAATAAAAAAAACAAGCTAAATCAAAACTATTAAAATGAAAACCATATACGATTGTGTGGTCACTCTTCGTGTGAGATGACAAGCTTAGAACTTGTTCTTGCAGACAGTGGCGTGAATGTCGACACTCTTGACGAGTGTACTACAACTTTGAACTGGGTTGCAATTGGATTTTTTGCCTTTTCCAAATCTTCACATTTTTCTTCTTGGTATTCTGGACTTAGATCTCTTGTCGTACACTCGCCACTTTCACTCCTCTCTTGCTCGCTCTTTGAAGCATTTTTCCTGCACTGTCCAATAGTGAATTTATTTTGGTGAAGCTCGCCAATCATTTGTGGGATGGCACTTCTCCTCTTGAATCTGTCTGGTGTCATAACCTTCCTAACTGGTGTCTTGGGCCCTGTTTGCGAGCCATTTTTAAACACAGAGCTTTGTTTATTAGCAACAGTTTGTGAGTAGTGACCCTTCTTTTTACTCTGATTTTCTTCCCTTATCTGTTCGTTCATTCCGCCACAATCGCACTTATTCACAAATTTGGAAACTGACAACTCAACATCTTCCAAATAGTGGCATTTGCTCTCGCCCGTTCCGACAGGATAATTTGGAGGGTTACCCAGGGTTTTCCCAAATTCCAACACATTTTCGGAAACATAGTCGAACTCCTCCAAGACAAGCCTTACAAAACTATTACGGACGTTTTCGTAACCGAAGTCTGCGTTATTGTAAATCAAAGATTTTCCAAACAATTCCGCGATCTCCTCAGCTGACACGCCGTTTTGTTGTGAATTGTTGAAAATGTTATACATATGGCGAATAACAAAATACACAACACTTTTTCTGTTGTTGTCCAACTCGTCGAAAATGGACTTAATTGCATCGACTTTGTTCAACTGACTATCACTTTGCAGACTCTTTTTAATAGAAAAATAGTCAACATTAATAATAGGATCTGTTAATGAGTCCAAATAAATTCTGACGATTTCAAAGGAAAGTTGTAAAGGAATAGTGGAAGGATCAATATCACTGCCAAGTTCCAAAACATTTAAAAACTTTAACACTTCATTCTCTGGTATCAAATAATCCAAAAGGTTATTCGTCACATAGAAATTCTTCTCCTCAAGATATGGAATAAAACGGTATAAGGGAAGTGGTACGACCCACTTCGACTTTTCAGAAGCGAAGAGGACGGAATTCCCAAAGTACCCAATTGGAGTCATTACGGTGTTAAGCCGATTGAATAAAGAAATGAACTGGTCTTCGGATTGACATTTTATTTGATAATACTCAGTGGAGTATATTTCAAAAGTAAGTAATGGGTCTGGAACAGCAAGGACCGCAGTTGAGATCAACTACGTGTTAACACAATGAGTCAAATCAAACTATAATGATATAATAAAAGTACTATATTTAAAACTAGAGAGGGGTTTTCTATTTTTGCTAGAATATGTGTTATATATACTATATATATATATTATAAATTATAAAATATTACTATAAATATATAGTATATGTATGACGTTTGACTGTGATGAAAAACAAACTCTTTTGATGGATGCGGAGGTGCAGTTGAGAGTCAAGATCGGCTTCTTATCCTTGAAGTGAGTTGTGTTAGTATTGGTTTAACTAAAATGGATTAGGTAGAATTAATGTTTGACAAACGGTATTTTCATGATAAAGTAAGAGTTGAGTACCTTTCAAAGTAAAGTATACCTTTGTGAATGTAAGAAAGTCGCCACCACGTATGTTGATGTTACCTTCTGTTGTTGTGGCCATTTGGTTATTTAAAAAAAGAGTTGCAAACTCAAATAGACTTTAAAGAAGAGGAAAAACTCGATGAAATACATTTTGCCATTTCAAATGTTTAAATTTACATAGTGTTCCAAATTGTAGAAAGGTTTGTAAAAGCGGAGGAAATATTTATTGTAAAAACAAACCCTCCGTTTTTTTCGTTGTTCACCGCTTTAAATGTTTTGCTTATTTTAACACTTTGTTGTTATTTTTAATCGGTTTTTATGGAAGTTTTGGGGTATTTTGTGCATTTGAATAAAGAAATGACAAAATGAACAATCGTATAGTCTTTTGAAGAAAAAAAAGGTTTCTTGTATTTGAAAATGGCAGTTTTTTCTTTTTCTTTTATTTTAAAACCAACAAAAACAAGTGGATCTTTTTTCTCTTTTCCATAAAATGACACTTTATTTTTCAAATTGTAGCTTAGATAATGATTATAAAACAATTAAATAAATTTGGTTTTTTTATACATAATAGATTATATTAGCTTTGTATTATTTTTAGAATTGTTAGCTATCGTTTTATGTTTTGTTGATGGCAAATCAAGACAATTAGACTTGTTTTATATAAACAGACAACCAGATTGAAAAAAGTGCTTTTTCATATATTTAAAAGGAAATTTCTAACGAAAAAAGGCAAAAAGAAGATTCCAAATAAGAACCAAACAGGTTGAAACCAGATTTATGGTTTTGTTATAGTATAATATAGTATTGACATGATTTCGAAATAATAAAAAATGTTATTATATTGTATATTAATTAATAATAATTTTATTTACAACCATTGATATATAGGATTTGTCTTTTGTTGTGATAAAAAAAGAAAAAGTGCAACCGAAGAACCTGAACGTAATAATAAAAAAGGAAAAAAGGAATTTTTTAAAAATATAACCATTACAAATGGTAAAATTATAAAGCCTAAATAAAAAAATAAGGCCTTTATAAATGAATTATAAAAAATGTTGTCACATTTAACAAAAGGTGGTCAAATAATAATGTGGAGTTTAATGGAATTAATTTAATTTAAAAATTAACTATAATTAATTATGGCATGCGATATGAATGAGATTTATTCTATTGGTAGTATAGCAGTAGTTTTTTTTAATATTCAAAGGTTAATGGAAGGGTTCTTGTAAAATACTTACTGTGTTTAAATATCGTATTTGTCTAATTAATAATGACCGTTGAACCCAAATTGTTTGAATCTTCTCGGAAGCTTTGTGTAAGACATATAGTTGAAATGTGATGTCCAAATCTCATAAAATAACACGCATGATACAACATTTGAAAAATTGTCAATTTGTGTGTTGATTTTCAGTTGTCCATTCATCTTCTTTGTCTGTTAAAAACATTGTGTTATTTTTCAAAAATACACAATGTTACACATATGTTTACACACTTTTATTTGAAATCAACAAAAGTAGTATAATATTACAATTATAGAAAAAAAACAATATTATAGCATTTGTTTTGTAATTATTTACTTTATAATTTGTTTATTATATATATTAATATATTAATTTAATAAATAACTTTCAAAATAATAAAAGTGGTTTGAAAGAAAAGTGCAATATTCTCTCGGTGATTTAATCTCCTATGTTTAATTTAAAAACACCTGAGTTTTGTTTGAATTGTTGATATAATTTCATATAATATAAATAAGTTAAATTATAATATTATTTACTTATTTGGTTGATATAACCATTATTTGTCATTTGCCATTTATTGAGTGTAAAATGTGTTATAATCGCAATTGTGTAACCACGCAAAACGTGTTTCATCGTTGTCGGTTATTTTTGATAATACGTGTCACCACAAAATATACTATTTTCAATAACTATATTATTATACATAATAATATAATGGAAAACTCATAACAACACAAAACAAAGTACTTTAATGTGAGTATCGTTAGGTTACCTTCCTGATCTGTTGTACTAAATTATTTTTTTCAAAAACTTTTAAATCTCTTTTTTGTAAACCATACTTAAATAACAAAAAAACTACATAATATAATAAAGAATACTTAAAATTTCAAAAAATCAACAACGCCAAAAGCGTTTTTACATAATCTACTTTTATGGTAAATAAACCTAAAAATATGGTTTAATGCACGGAAATTTCTCAAGGAAAAAACGTGATTAAACAAACCCTTAAAAAAATCCGAAAAGATGATTTTTCAAAAATGGGACAATTTCTAGAAAAGAAGGAAGAAATCCCGAACTTACAAGTAAATTTAACGCAACACCACCAAATATAATAAAAAGCGTTAAAAAACCAAAACAGCAAAAAAAAAACATTATAAAATAGGGAAGAGCACATAATTCCAACATTTTAGTTTAAAGAATAATAAAAGAGTTAGACTTTGAAGGGTGAGAAAACAAAGACCCGATAAAAGTAGAGACTCTATGAACTCTTTTATTACTCATCAATGAACACAAGACACTTGCAATTGCAATTGGAGTACATTACAATCTTCGGGGAGGACTTGTTCGTTCGACTGAACAATACCTACGATTTGTTTGTTACTTGAGTTATTTATTGAAACGATAGCTTATTAGTATAATAACTATTTTATAATAGTTTGATGAGATACACATTAGATGAGAGATTGACGACTAGACCGATGATATGGAATAACGGACATATATGGAAAAGCACTGTAATGTGCGACACGGACCGACTGACGTATCAGTATGTTGTGAAGTACCGAGGACAAATGAAACGAATAGAAGAGTGCAACTGGAGGGTTGTGAGTCTTCCGAGCGATGCCGAGTTTGGAGAGAAGTGGGCATATCCCATGAGTAGTACTGTTAAATATCTTCCTTCGAAAGAAGTAGTTGTAGACATGGATGAAG